CAACTCTACGCCATAGGTTAAGTTTGCCTTAGTTGATTAATGCAGTGTTGTTTGACTTTAAGTATGACATTTACCATGGGTTAGATATCAATTGTAATGAGTCAATGCACAAAACAAGGGTTTCCCCTAACCTATGTTGCACAACTTGTTGCTAGTCAGATTGTGAAACAGGGGCACCTTCTGAAAAAAAGGGAAAATCAACATGCTTAAAAAAAAAACCCTTTTTAAAATACACCTCAGTGGTTTACCTATCACATCAACTTCTAGTCACTGTTAATTATCATTAGAGAGTTTCCATTGGGTCCTGACACAGGGCAACAGTTTTTGTTAGACATGAAGCTACCCAACATGCTATTTGCAGCCTTAAATGACAACACCCCTTGAACATATGGATAAGGTTAATGAACGATCATCCAAACATGGTTACAACTAGCATATGATTTTATAACAATCATCTTTTTTTTTTCCCTTTCAAAGTGTATTACATAACAATGGGAATGTCACACAATATTTCTATTTCAAGGTCTTCAAATGACATTGAGCAAGATGTTCCAGGAGCCAGCAACAATTAACTATCCCTTTGAGAAAGGCCCATTAAGTCCTCGGTTCAGAGGGGAGCATGCCTTGAGGAGATACCCATCTGGAGAAGAGAGGTGCATTGCTTGCAAGTTGTGTGAAGCTATCTGCCCTGCACAGGTAAATTTTATATGTACATTTGTTGGGAGATGAACTTTGTTAGTTTGTCTCACGATAGAGTCACTTACAATGTAGATTGTGACATTTCGACTGCAATACTGCTAGTCTTCATCAGGTGATGAGGTCGATTGTTTATGTGTTGCTATTTGTAGCATGTTGGTATGCTGCTATTGATGCATTTTGATCTTCATTATAATTCTGGTTGTTAGATAGTGTTCTCTCAGGTCCTCATGAATCGGCTGTTGTGTTATTTGATTGTGGGTATTGAAGCTTTAGGAATGTCAATTCTGCTATCCCTATTGATGTTGTTGGGACGAGGTCTTAAATGGATAGCCTCTTTGACCCTACATGTGTACTGGTGGGGGTCACGATCAATAAACTTAACCTTGCTCCAAATAGGAATATGCCCATTATGTTAGCAAGCTCTGAAACCACAGAGGTCTGAGTAAGAGCAAACTGTATGTCTCTGTCATATTCTTATATACTTTCTTGCATTGATCTCCCAGTTTCACCAATATACACTTTGCTGCATTTGCATGGGATCTTGTAAATGACACCATCTTGTTTTGATGGTTCCAGGGTGTCTTTAGGTCATACTAAGTGAGACCTAAGTGTTGTGTCCAACTTGAAAATGGTTCATATGCCTTGATGTTGTAGGCAGCGGCAAAGAACCTCTGATGCACCCTTTATGTAAGGGAGAACAGCAGTTGATTTAAATTCCTGTGCTGGTTCTTTGTTGGCTGTTTTTCTTTCAGAGCTGAAAAACATCCTCATCTTTCCTCTCAGTGTAACATCTAAGCTTGACAGCCAGCCCCTGTGAGAGAAATAAACCCACACCCCTACTATGAGGAGTTTGTGGAGTCTCCTCTTTGGGAGGAACAAACAAAGACCAAACTTTAAAGAGTGGTAGAAACTGAGCCTATTAGATGTGACAATTTAAGTTATCTTGTCAGCTGTATACCTACAAAAAATTGATATTAACAATGCTGATAAAAGAAGCGTGGAACATTATGAGACTTAAAAAGTAAAAAGCTTATAGATGTTCACATTGAAATCTACAATGTTTGCAATTAGAAAGGGAAGCTTGAAATAAAAACAACAACAAAACAAAGCAAAACAAAACTAAGTCTTGTCTACCAACTGAGCTATAAAACCCAGGAAGTGGTGGTCACATTTTTGTAGACAACTGCATAATGTCTTTATGACAAGATAAATTCTCATCACAAACTTGATAATCTCCAGTGTTAGTCAGTAAGCTGCATAATGTTTCTCAAGTTTAATGTGTTGTTATATACAGGCAATCACCATAGAGGCAGAACCTAGAGCAGATGGAAGTCGACGAACAACACGCTATGATATTGACATGACAAAATGCATCTACTGTGGCTTTTGTCAGGAAGCTTGTCCTGTAGATGCAATTGTGGAGGTATAGAGAATTGCAACACATAACGATTTTGTGATTATTGATGCATTATTGAAACTGAAAAATGGAATTAATTCTCAAATGATTAATGTTTTTCATGGCAATATATGGCCACATCTTATTTAGACATTGGTTCTCAACATTTGAAAAAAAAGGTTGTTAAGGTTCATTATTTTAAATTTAGTTTGGATGCTGTTATCCGTGACAAATATATTTACTTTTAGAAAATTTAAAATTTCTAAGAAAATGTGTGTGGCATATTTTACTGTCTGAGGTTCTGAAACTTTGTTCCAATAGACACCTTATACTGTATATTTCTATGGGTGCTGAATTTTTATCACTGATATGCTCTTCCCCAAAACTGATAAATGGTGTAGTCTAAGTGTTCATGTTTTACATGAATATTACTTTTTTTACCATAAATTTGTTTTCTAATAAATTATTCTTTGTTTTAAGGGTCCAAACTTCGAATTTGCTACTGAAACTCATCAGGAGCTGCTTTACAACAAAGAAAAACTTCTTAACAATGGTGACAGATGGGAGGCTGAAATAGCTGGGAATCTTCAGGCAGATTTTCTTTACAGATGAAGGGATTCTGTCATTTAAACCTTTGATTTCTAACTTTGTAAAAAAAAAAAAAAGTCCTGTTCTTTACCTTGCACAAAATAAGACCCTTTTGAAGACTGGAGGTGCATGTTGAGGATTGGTCTACTGGAGGTTGTTTTTGACCTCAACTGCATTATCTTCATCAAAGACTGTTTAACGGGCACATATAGTCAGCACAGCCATTAAGTAATGAATATACCCATGATTGTGTGAGATAAATAAATATCTGGGTTTGTTAATGTGCTTGTTGCATTGTTTATTTCTTGCATGAGTCTGTCTGTTTATGAAAGAGGCAGATTTGCCAAAAAGTAAATAATAATATTAAATTGAAAAATTGCCACTAAGAACATGTCAACACATCATGTAACTTCATCTGAGAACATAATTTTTGAGCTTGGCCATTGGAAGCTTTAATTACAATATTCTCAGAAAAGGAAATCTTTTCACTTCATTTTTTCTTCATTGTGCAAAGCACAAAGTTAGATATGAGCTTTCTGTGTACAAATATCACAGCACCAGCCAATTAGTAGGCCACATTAAATTCTTTGTGATTTCAAGGTTTTTGTATCACAAAACAACAATTGTTATTACATCAGAATTTGCTGCTAAGTGCTAATTAGGACAGGACATCTGATGTTATAGTGATTTTGAACAGTTAATGTTTATCAAATATCATCTTGACTTTGAAGTGCCTCTGCCCAGTGAGGACTATTTGCATTTGAATCTGAAGTTTGTTCCATGCCATTGCGATGTTTGAGTAAATCTCGCCATAAAAATGTGTGATAACAAGTTGGACAATCTCCCTCCACTGGGATTAGATGTGAGCTGTCCTCACTTTCCATCAGGAATCTTGTGGCCAAACAAATGAGATGAGCTTTCATTTGACAACTCTCTGAAATACATGAAAGACAGTCATTTGCATCCTGAAATAGAAAACTTTTTGTTAGCTTCCTCTAGTTATAATAGCAGATATCTGGGTTACACCCTGGTTCAGATGCTCTCAAATTAATAAAGAATGGATGATTAACATTGGAATGGACATTTCTTTCAGTTTCCAGTTTGTGGTATTTCATCTAAGAAGGGCTACCATCCAGAACGAGCACTTTTGGTGATGGCTTAACTATCCTGCAAGCAAAAGTCCTCTAATACAACTGCTTTAACATGCATTGTCAATTATATTCAAATACCAAATTCAGAGATTATGGATTTGTTAACAAGGTTATCATAAATTTTCATAGCAAATGACTGAGTTAGAATATATGCTGGTAAAGCAGTAATTTCCATGCAGTACATACATGCATACCTTGATCTCTTCAGAGCAAACCACACAAGTATAGTGGGAAATATTGATATCTTCTAATTCCTCTCTACCTCGCCTCTTGCTTTTCTCAGGTTTTCTTTTACTTAGAGGTCCATATGCTATAGGCATATGAGTGGGTGGTTGTTTCTCAAACTCCATTTTGTACTCTTGCTTCAACCATCTTATCGTGAGAGGAAGTCGATTCCAAGGACCAACATTAAGCATCTCAGAGAGGACTCTAAAGCGGAATTCAACATCTTTTTCTTTAGTCTTTTTGTTAGAGATGTGGCGAAGACGTCTGGACTTTCCTGGATTTTGCCAAGCCCACTCAAACTGTTTAGTCACAAAGAAATAAATATTATGATAAATCATTAAAATCAATACCATGATAATGAAAGGGACATGTAGAAGAGATGGAATCACTCGCCTGTAAGGCAATAATATCGCTGGGAAACCCATGTATAATCAGAATCATCTCCCTGTTGACAAGATAAGATTGTCTGTATCAAAATTCAACAAAACAGTTCACACAAGTGACAGATTCAAGATCAGATGTTGGACCAGACAGATCCATCCCTCATGCAGGAAGTCTTCGAAGACAAGGGGTGACAAAAAGAGAATTTCACCCACATCAGGAAATTATCACAAACATTGGGTATGAAGAGAAAGGAAAGTAATATTTTCAACTGGGTAATAGTTTGATTTAACACAAAAGTCTCACACTAAAAATTAAAACAAACGGACAGAGGAGAGTGCAGAGAATTGATATTTGGACCTTCGAAGCAAAAAGGTTTAAAGTTTCCTTGCCACCAACAACTCAGATATCAAAATCGTCGGCATCAACGGGAACATCTATATCTACATTTATTAAGTTTGTAAAATATGTACAGACATCACACCAACTGGTTCTGCACACCGATCTAGATTCTGCCGGTAAATTACATCAATCATTAGGTTAGTCAATACAGGATACCATAGTATAGTAAAATTTACAAGTCAATGTGCCTGAAGAAGAAGAGAAAATTAATTATTCTCGGGGTACGCTTTTCACTCACCATGGGCCTCGGCCGCTTGTTTTGTAAGCACCTCCTTTCTGCACCCCTCCATTATGCTGTTTGATCCTGCGATTAGGATCAACAGTAAATCCGATATAAGTGCGTCCCTTATAGCGAGGATTTAGACAGTATAGAAGATAAACACCAAAGAAGCCTGCCTCTGTGTTGTTCACACATTCCTCCATTTATTTTCAAACTTTCGCACCATGGAAGTCACTGACCGAGGAAGAATTGGGGACGAGTCCCCATCATCATTGCCAGTCCCTTCCTCGTTTCTCGTTCTTTTTCAGACGTGGTTGTTCATTCCTTATCACTCAACTTAATTTTTGCACGGATCTTTCGAAAATGAGAGATTCACTTTTTAAATGGTATTCTCTCTGTTTGGTTTTTTTTTCCTCTCTCTTTTTTTCAGTAAATTTAACTGACGTTTCTCGTAGCCTTCAAATACAAGTACACCATATACACCTTCATAGCACCCCTCTACAATAAGCTCTCCATGTAGTGCTTTGAGATTGCAATAAGGCCCTATTCCCTCTACCTCTTAACCAATACTCTAGCATTGTTATTCATTTGGGTTAAGAATTAGTATAGTTAAAAATATACTAGTACTTGTCAGCCTTTCATAGTTTTCAATTGAAAAACACAACTCAACACAAAGGATGTGTGGTATTGAATAAAGCTGAACACAGCCAGAAATAAAGTGATTACCACTTGGTTCTCATCCATGAAGTTTCAATCAGCCCTTCCCACCCCTCTCACCACAGGAAGGACTGGAAGTTAATAAGTGTTTCCAATTTCCACTTCTCTCACACGGAGATGGGACAACCATAAATTCTCCTTGAAACACCAGACCACAACAGAAACACCGTTGGATGCCAATTTCTTCCAAAGTTTTCCAATAGAATCAGCACAAAAACTTGTAAATATAACTAAAATAATCAAATATTTTATCAACAGTCTTCCTCATCACAGGAAGTGATAAGGAATTCACACCAATTGCCAAGCTTATCATTCTTACATCAATGTGAGCATGGATTACTTTCATAGACAAAAACTGTTGGCAGCATCTGTCTCTTAATTTATGAGAAGAGATTAGCGTGGAAGACTGTGACTTCCTTTTCCATACTTATCACTTGCACTCATGTTGACAACACTCATCAAGCCACATGACAATGGGAATCCCTTTGTCTCAAATAAACAAATTGTCATAAACAAAACTGCCTTGCTGTTACAACCTAAATAAAATAGAGCCTGTATAAAAATGCATTGCAAGAAACTCAAACCAGACTTTTTTCAATCTCTTTAAAGTTTTACTAGATTGAAAAACATCATTTTTCATTACTAAAATTAAACATTCAATGTGGAAAAAGAAGTTTTCATTTGCTCCTTAACTGAAAAGCAATTCTCATCAAAATGATACTACATGACAAAACAATTGTATTTATTTCTTTTATAGAAAGGTTGCAGTGGACATTTACAACTGTTTACATCAGTTTTCACAGCATGCAATTCACCAAAGACTAGCCATCATGAAGAAAATGAAGCACATGAAGTTTGCAGGACAAAATTCCCAATTGTTCACATGAAAGCCACATGAAATAAGGCATTCTTAGTCTATTACATAATTCACAATTCCTCTGTCATTCATCATCATCTTCAGCATTTTTGACATATCGGTGCTTGACGTGATTCCACAATTTCTGGTGATAAAAGAAGGCAAAAGATATGGGTGTTTTTTGCACAAATAAATACAAATCAATGATGCATTCACAAGATTTTTGTTTACCTAGAATCAGAGCTGGAAAGAAAATGTGAAAGGTACCTTTCTATTTGGACAGGAATGTTATAAGATTTTGTAAGAGGCAAATTACTATGCTGCTTCTAGGGTGATTTACCTAATTATTTCCTATGGTTTATAGTCACTTTTTTATCTGATATTCTACAAAAGAAGGCAGTTAGTTTGGCATTAAGGATAGACTCCTTCCCTAATAGTTTATGTGTAATAATAATCTTGGTCTGTGTATCTTTCTTACTTATTGCAGCCGTTATATTTGTGGAATGACTTATTTCTATGGAACCATCAAATCCCTTTTCAGAACAATCTGACATGAAGTGACTAAACTGACTGCATTCTATATGAAGAAGTACATGCCATATAGACACCATAAAGTACCTGAATTTATTGTCCTTATAATACCTAGAACACCTTTTTATCCCTCAGATCAAGTTGTCATAAACTAAGAATTCTGTATGCCATGTAGTATTACTTCCAGTACATTCAAATGCTTTTAAGCAATGTAGTCAACTATCTGAGTATGCTGCATGCAGGGCTAAACTGCAGAATGCTGCCCACTTTGGTCCACCTCACTTACATGTGTTGGGAGGCTTTGAAGATCAAGACATAACGCAATAGACACTATTCTTATTCAATGACATGTAAATGAGTGACTGAGTGTTCTGCTGTTGCTCCGCATGCAGTTACCCACTGCAACTAATGGTTTGGTTTCAATGATTTCTGGAACTGGTGATCAAATTCTAAGTAGTAACGATACACTAAAACCTAACTAAGTTATTTCACATACAACTTAAAATTTCGTCAAATAGTACATTTAATATTTCCTTCTGATATTAATTTATCAAGTATCGTTTGATCTTGTGTAATTTCATATCAAATATCCTAACTCGCATAGTTAATAACTAAATGCATTTCTCATTACGATCACATTACAAGCAGTAAAGTACAAGCTTTATCTCTCTACTTCACAAATTTGCGTTCAGTACGTAAACAGACTGACTATCTGTTAAAACTAAATATTGAGTCAGCTCACCCCTCGGTTCATAGTTTCCCATAAGTTATCCATTCCAACATCAAAGATTCTCTCAAATGCAAATGCTCCAACAAAAATGGTTACAGCAAAGGTTGAAGTTCGCCGAAATAAAGCATTGTAAACTGTTCTACCAATACTCATCGTCACTCTTGAATCCTGAACCGTCAAAAGTTTGAACCGGCTTTTCACATACGAAGATGGCGGCTGTTGTACTTTAATTTTGCAAAGGATGATGGTCAGGTTGACGTTTGGAGTGTGAAAAGACCTATGGGATATTACGTCATTTTGGCGCCAATATTCACCATCTTTACCATCGTTCGAATTTCGGCGTGAAGCGTTCAGTGATTTCGCTGCTAATTATTAGAGTTCTTTAATTTTCTTCAACGATCGAATGTCGACTATGCTGTGTGATAGCTCACAAGTGGACGCTGAGGACATGGATGTTCAAGAAGCAAATGCTTTTAGGTTCAGCGAAGAACCTTCTCTGGAGAAAATGTAAGCTAACTCTGCCACTTTACGTTACATATGTTATGCCTTCGCTTTCTACTAATGATAACCTTCTCCCCTTCGATTTTTTTTCACATGAATGCAGGCTGATACGAATATATCTATTATTTCAGGTTTCAATTTTAGTTTCCCTCTTTACTTTCAGTCGACAGATGCAGTCGCAGTTTGCTAAAGAAAGAGACTGGGACCAATTTCACCAGCCCAGAAACCTTGTGCTTGCAATGGTATGAGAACTTGCTAATTAACCCTTTAACACCCAGATCAAATTTGTAATTCTCCTTACTGTCAACCATACAGTTCTTATTGTTAGTTCAGAGAATTAAGTATTTGATCAACTAATTATCCCCAAATTGATATATTTCTTTATTCTCACCACTTGTTTGCTTGATATTGTATCGATACTGTAAGGAGAAATTCTGTCTTGGTCACTTATGGGAGTTAAAGGGTTAATTACTGATTAACCTGTCTTGGGAATTGAACTAATTGACTTACACTCAACTTAATACACTTTTTTGTGCTTTAGTTTCTGAGAAAACCAGATCTTTTCTTTCTCTAGCAAACTGAGGATCACTGGGGTCACTGTTGTGTAAAAATTCAGCTACTTAATATGTAAAGGGAGGATTTACCAAATTTGAATTATTTCTTTTGTACATGCTCTCCATGACATTGTTTGGTTCTCGTATTCAAAACAGTGTGGAAAGGATGACACAATCAAATTTAAGTTTAGGTGCTACCCAAGGGTAGGCTCCCCACTTATATATTAAATTATTGCCTATCTCTATGCAGCTGATATATTCTAAATTCATTACCCTCTCCCTCCCCCCAGGTTGTCTTCCCCTTCCCATGTGTTCTCTAAGTGCAACTCTTTCCTAAATTGGAGAAATATACATTTCTATTGTTTTAATTTATCATGAAGTCTAGTTACAGATCTTCTATAGTTATATAATTATTTAGCTGTTTAAAATGTTCATGCAAAGCCCCTATTTTGGTCAAGTTTTTATCCCTGCTTTTGTTGTAGGTTGGGGAAGTTGGAGAAGTAGCAGAATTATTGTAAGTGAAATATTACTGATTCAAAGTTTGTTGTCCTGTTGTACCACAAACATTAAGATAGGTTCAATTGAACAAGTACCTACTGGTAGGCTTAATTATTTGTCATTTCTTCTATCCTTTTTCATATTTATAGCCAATGGAAAGGTGAAGTAAAGGAAGGACTCCCAGGTGAGTGTAAGAAGTGTCCTTACTTTCTTTCCATGAACATCTCCACACTAAAATATCTGAAAGAAACAAAGCAATATTCCTTTCTCTTGTACAGTCGAACCTCGATTGTCTGGACTCATCGGGACCTCGGTAAATAGTCCGGATAATCGAGAGTCCGGATAATCGAAAATATGAATATTAATGAGATAGAAATGTGAAATAATTATCTGCTTATCTTTAATCAATAGAACGGCTAGCTTTCGCTTGGTAGGCATGTTTTTGATTTGAGCTTATGATCGATTGCTCGTGTGTTTACATAACCCACACAGAAGAAATTCCCTTGGCAACAAAACAATTGAGCCAACCATATTTCAGCTGAACGCATCAGAATATTTCTTTGTCTCGTCGCACTTTTGAATTTTGAAAAGCACATAGGATAATATGCTGTTTCAACAGTCTTTTGAAAGGATTATTGGGCTTTTTGCGACTTTGGGTTTTCAAGATCACAACTAATTAATATTCATGGAAAAATTGGGACCAGAGAAGAAAGTCCGGATAATTGAATAGTCCGGATAATCGGGGTCCGGATAATCGAGGTTCGACTGAATTAAGTTATAATAGCCAAGTCCTTGTTGGAGAGAGAGGTGTGGGGGGAGTAAAAGCACAACACAACAACATAGCAAGGTCTTGACCTTGGCCCTCTCACACTGGAATCAAGTATAACAACTGTTAGATAGGCTAACACATCTCTTTATAAGGAATATGGCCTATTTGTTGGTTCACTTAAATACAAGATGGAGAGGTCAGAACAAGAGCACAGGGCTACTCATTATGTTGAGTTTTTGGGCAAAACACTCAACTCTTGTGGCACCTCTGAGAGTAGAAGTGAACAATGACCCCAGCAAATGATCATAGAAACATAATGGAAAGTGGGGAATGACCTGTAAATGGACTAGCATCAGAAAAATCCTAAGCCATGACTTGAAAAATTTAAAGATTTCAAATTTATTGTATGAGTAGTTCTTGTTTTAAAATCAGGTAGTGATCAAAACTTAGAGAAAGCAAAAACTCACAACTGTTCATCCTAACGGGTGGATTTTGATCAACATCTCAGTAAATTGTTTGTGATTGCTTTTCCAGATTGGTCTCTGAAAGATAAGCATCATCTCGCCCAAGAACTCAGTGATGTACTTATTTACCTGGTCAGACTTGCAGAAAAATGCCATGTTGATCTTCCCAAGGAGGTGGTGGCTAAAATAGCATTGAATTCCAAGAAATATCCTGCAGATCTGGTGAAGGGATCAAGCAAAAAGTATACAGAATACAAGGAAATGAATTCATCTAATAACTGAAAGATTGTTTCCCTGCTCAGGATAATTTTTTTTTTCATAAATTGAGAGTGTGGGTCACTCTGCACAGGAGACAGTGCTAAAATTATACTTGCTTAAAATTCTTTCAATCTATAATTTTAGACACAGCTTTTACAATGAAGTTGAATCAGCTTGTTTCAATGGTTTTTGTCGCAACAATCAGAGAGTTCAGCTGGTTGAACTCTGATCTACTAATAGGGAAAGTTTGATCACAAGTAAGGCTGTCTCCTTGAAAGAGTTCTTCACTTTGAAAGTAAGTTATGTATTCAAGAAACTATTAACAACTGGAATACTACTAGTAAATTCATCAGTTGGAATACCAAAATGTTTACACGACTTTTGTGACAATGATATTGTACCACTCATAAAGGCATGGAGAAGTCTAATTGATAAAATTGTAGGAGATCTGCAAGTTGAAACTCATTCTTGTCATGGATATGATTGATATAAATTTGTAAATATAATTTTATAAATAGCCTATTTATTCTTTTTGCTTGGGCTAGACCAGGTCATTCATGTTTGAAGTTAATGTTTTATTTCTTTATAGATAGCAAAATCATGTTGATTTATCTTAGCCAGCTTTTTACAACACAGAGTTTAGGCAATATTGACTGTTGATGAACACTGATATCACTGTTGTTTTGTTTGCATCAGGGGATGTTTTTAAATTAACTGTTTTTTTTTTAAATTTTGCATTTGATGTTCTATTTCACCTTGTGTAATTTTTTTGTTAACTTTTACTAGCTTTTGCAAACGCCTTGTTACTGATTCTTACAATTTAATGCAATTGCTACTTTTCAGTCATGTAGTTAACAGGAAAGTTTAATTTTAAATTACATTTCAGTGAAAATGAACTTTGCATTCCTTCTTTTCCCAATTCTTGTTTTAATTTAGTTCCAAACCTTGTGGAACATTTGCTTAGTATAAATAGTGGTGAAGTGGTAATGAGGGAATGAAATGTACATTAATTTATCATCAGCAAATTTTTAATGCTACATTTTAACTATTGTTTGAATGCTAAAGCTGGATTTTTTTTAGAGGGTTTCAAATGATGTCAAGGCAGCCATATTGATGTATGAAAACAATAAAATGGGGAACATTTTGATGTACAAAGTCAATCCTTTGGCTTGTGTACTCTTTCCTTGCGAAAACACTTTCCTTTGCTACAAGCTGCCTACCATGAGAGCAAAAACATTTTAATGCCCACAAAACACAGTGTTGCATGCCAGAAAGAGGATGGATTCCTGCTTTCAGTACTGATGGTGAAGGGTTGTTGGAAAGGGCAACAACTCTGCCTTGCCTCATCCCTGAAGGTTTGGGTTCACCATGTTCAACCATCAACCTAGTTTCTAAGCCCTCATTTTTGCTTTACAAGCTTGTCTGCATTTGTGTTACACTTCTCACCACTGGGATGTTCATTTGGAGAGAGAGATACATGGATGGCTTAATGAGAACAAAGGCTGTTTCTTTCACCTCACCCCACCCCCAAAGGATTTTAATAAACGGGTGAGCGGGCTCTGGAAACGACGAGTTTAAAAAAAATGGCGGACGACGATGGATTCCGAGTGGTAAAGAAAAGTAAAGGTCGCAAACACAGGAATAACAGAGATAAAAACGGATCTTTTGTGAAATCTCGGAACATCTCGACCTCCTATGATTCAGAAAAGTGCGATGTAAATGAGTTAAAAACGAAAATCGAGAAATGCAGGCAGGCAAAGGTTTACTTTTTTACGAAAGTTTTGTATTTCGCCTTGACGATGTACTGAAGATGAAGGTTCTACATGTTTACTTTACTGAATCCAGATATTTTATCTATTAGGGAAGAAATTTTCGGGAGTGAGTTTCTTTTAAATGTTCAAGGTAAAATATAATAATTAGAGCATTATCTGTCAACTTTTGTCAGCCCTCCTTAGCCCTTCCCCACCCCCACCCCCTTCTGCC